TATACATCCCGCACAGCCAAACGGACGCCCAACTTTGGCAGGGGTTTTATTTTAGGTCGGATGAAGACCAAGTGGAAAGCTAGTTGAAATCCAACAACAACTAATTAAAAAAAGTCATGTATCTAAGAATAAAATGTCAGGGTTTTGAGCATGTTGAGGTTCATTCAAGTATTTGTTGATAGAAGTGAAATGATCTGAACCAAAGTTCTAGTTTTAAGTTTCTATATAAGGTGGAATATAATGGCATACAATTCTATCCAATACTCAATTCACCGCATGCTAGACTAGTGTACAAATGCAATTTGATAATTAAAGAGTTTTTTTGCAAGACATCTTTTAAAAACGTCACATTTCAAATCATTTAGAAAAACTAATATTGGGACACGCAAGGGAGACAAAAGGGAGAGAGAGAGAGACTCTGATGGACTCAATGAGAGAGATGAGAAAAGATTTAATAAAATGCTCCGCTGGGGCGCAGCTTGATACGACCGCAGAGGTCGAACCCTGAACAGTTGGGGCAAGTATGGACACAACATTCAAGCTTGATACAGCACTGAATTTAGATTGTAATTAAATATTTGACACAGCATAGGTTTCTGACACAGAATGAGAATGGTCTAAGAACTTAAAAACTTTTAATTTACCTATTCAAACCATATCATTATTATTTGCTTTTATATATAAATCAGAAATAACCAATTTAAAATGGAAAATTCTTAAGAAAAAAAAGGAAAAAAAATCCCCCCCCCCCAATTTTTTGAACCCCCTTATGATTCATCACCCCCAAAATCAATCCCAGCCTTCCCTTTGTGGTATGGTACCTTGTAGTACAATTTCAGAGATCCATACACTTGAACACAAGTTATTGTCTGGAAACTAAAAAAATGCTTGCTTTTTGGACCCTTTTTTGCCCCAAATTCCTAAACGTTTAGGGCAATTACCCCCAAACTCAAACCCTGCTTTCCCTTTGTGTTATGGAACCTTGTAGTACAATTTCATAAAGATCCATACACTTACACACAAGTTATTGTTCTGAAACTAGAAAAATGCTTGTTTTTTTGCCCTTTTATGGCCCCTAATTCCTAAAATTTTGAAGCAATTACCCCCAAAATCAATCCCAGCCTTCCCTTTGTGGTATGGTACCTTGCAGTACAATTTCAGAGAGATCCATACACTTGAACACAAGTTATTGTCTGGAAACTAGAAAAAATGCTTATTTTTGGCCCCTTCTTCCTAAGCTTTTTGGTCAATTACCCCCAAACTCAATTCCAGCTTTCCCTTTGTGATATGGAACCTTGTAGTACAATTTCATAAAGATCCATACACTTACACACAAGTTATTGTCATGAAACTAGAAAAATGCTTGTTTTTTGCCCCTTTTTGGCCCCTAATTCCTAAAATTTGGAGGCAATTACCCCCAAAATCAATCCCAGCCTTCCCTTTGTGATATGGAACCTTGTGATACAATGTCAGAGAGATCCATACACTTACAAACAAGTTATTGTCATGAAACTAGAAAAATGCTTGTTTTTTGCCCCTTTTTGGCCCCTTCTTCCTAAGCTTTTTGGTCAATTACCCCCAAACTCAATTCCAGCTTTCCCTTTGTGATATGGAACCTTGTGGTACAATGTCAGAGAGATCCATACACTTACACACAAGTTATGTCTGGAAGTTACAAAAATGCTTATTTTTGGCCCCTTTTTGGCCCCTAATTCCTTAATTGTTGGTACCATAACCCCCAAAATCAATCCCAACCTTCCTTTTGTGGTATTGAACCTTATGGTAAAATTTCATTGAGATCCATTCACTTAAACTAAAGTTAGAGTGCGAAAACTAATGTGTCTTCGGACGATGACGACGACGCCAACGTCATACCAATATACGACCACAAAAATTTTTTTGCGGTCGTATAAAAACAAATCAAAACAATAATCTTACAATTTATACAAAATCAATAAATATGTTAAACTTTTATTCCAACTGTGTGTAGTTTAAGCTACAAAAATATTTTTTTGTCATGTATCCGATTTCACCTAGATAGATGCACGTCTAAACAAGTGACAACTCTAAGACAGATCAATCCATTGGATCACCAGTGAAGGTGATACGCGGCTGAAAACACATATTATATACATAATTACTCTAAATATCAGCACAACAATGTTAAATCTGCGGAAGCAAATTTTTGTTCTTCCCTCGACGGGATTCGAACTCATGCTATTGGGATATTGTGACAACACCGCCTGCATTATGTCCAGCGCTCTAGACCACTCGACCACCTACACTGAACTAAAATATTCAGCTTTCGGTGGCCTAGTGTTACCTTTCCTTGTCAATACAATCTAGAATCGATTGGAGATAAGCTAAATTATCTGTCATTAACGATCGAAAGATACAGTCACAGAAAAAAATTATTTGGTAAGTAGTCTAAACAAGTGACAACTCTATGACAGATCCATCCATTGGAGCACCAGTTAAGGTGATACACGGCTGAAAACATATTATATTCATAATTACTCTAAATATCAGCACAACAATATTGAATCTGCAAATTTGCAGAAGCAAATTTATGTTCTTCCCTTGCCGCGATTCAAACTCATGCTATTGGGATATCTTGACAACACCACCTGCACTGTGTCCAGAGCTCTAGACCACTCGGCTACCTAGATATATATACTTCAAAATTCTAATCAAAGTACAGACAAAATTAATCATTCTTCTAAATCAAGAACTGGTACAATTTTTAACAGAACTAAAGGGCCCAAGGAACCTGTATTACTTAACTACCTTCTAAGCATAGTCATCGGACTCAAAGACTGTAAAACTCTGTTTAATTTGCAAAACAGAAGAGACCATGTTTGATGGTGTTGTAGGTTATCAATCATACTCCAAAGAGTATCTTCATAATTTTGGTACAACCAAATTCTTTTCCAAATTTTTAAGATTCCTCATATTTCTAAGCAGAATTTCGATATATATACATGTATATATGATGTAAAGTAGTACAATTAGTGGAAATTGAGATAATTAACAAATTAATCATAAATGTTACATTTACCCAATGATGGTAGCAACTGATACTTAACATGATTTCTGTTTTATTTTAGTATTTATTTAAGTAGTGATGATGGCAATATTTGATGGTGTTTGGTGTTGGTGTTATCACCTAAAATTCTAAAAGGGGATCATATTCATATATATATATATATATACAATGTAGTCAATAGTAAACAAACAATTTCAATAAGAACCAGATTGTCTAAAATTAACACTTGTCACACATTTACATTAAAATTTCATTTCATCTTGTTCCGGTGTTTTTTCCCTATCTTTTATCAGTTTACAATGTAGCTACACAAATATTTTGACTTATTACATGTATACATGTATCTCATTTTTTTTTATAAAGGTTTTGTTGTGCATGTTAATCTTGGTAAAGTTTTCTGCTTTAAGTAACTGAAATGGTCCAGGACCAGTTCCTGTCAACAGGCAATTTATGCAACAAAGGTCACTTTGTGTTAATATGGCATGTTGCTGTTATCTTCATATGTTTTTATTTAAATAGCTGTGCTTTGTTTGATCCAATTAAGATAAGACATGTTGTTTTCTGAGTTTTGGTTTAATGCGTTTTTTTGAAAGAAATGTGTGGGGTGATATGAAGTCATTGCTTGAGGATTGGACATTTACAATTTGACATTTCCAACCTAAACAACATCTAATCCTTTAGAATACAAATTTATTTCAAACGAGTTCAAAAAGGTTTATAAATTTCAATATTAAACTAAACATTGCAGAGGCAGATCAATTCATGATAAATTCACATTTAGTTCAGCTTTTAAATATTTGAGCAGAATAACAATGTGTTTGGTTCATTATAAAGATCTCTTCTTGCTACTACACAAATTCAAAACATGACATTAATATTCAAGTAAAGAGGCATTTACTATAAATTAGTGGCAAAATTCATAAGTGACAGTAACTTACACCTATATCATACAAAAACAATAACAAAACAAGCATTCTGTGAGTATTGCATGGCAATACATAGTCCCCTACCGGTTACAAATTCATTGTAATGGAACGAAATTCTAACTTGATCTATAACTTGTCATGGTGTAAACTACATAAAAATATCAAGTCAAAATCTTCAAGCATGACGAAAAAAAACTGTTGAAAACTGATTATTTAAGTGAATTTTCTATGTCCAAAGACCATTGAAACTGTTATACTAATTATCAAATCAATATCTTCAAGAATGACAAACAAACCTACCAATTCTTCAAACAATTTACCAAAGAAAAGGAAAAAATTCCCAAATGTCATTTTGTCTTTTAAAAAATGAGTTATTTCGCTTTGAACAGAAATCTACTAATTAATAAGTATATATTTCATCAAAAATTTAATTCTAGGGAAAGGGCTTTAACTGAACAAAGAGAAAAGCTAAAATCGTGAAAATTGAACTTGACCTGTAACTTGTTATGATAAATCAATAAACCAATTATCAAATCAATATCTTCAAGCACGAAGAAAAAAAGTCTGGAAAACTGATTTGCCGGACTGACAGATGGACAGACAGACAGACAGACTGACGGAGTGCAAACCTAAAGTCCCCTTCGACTTCGTCGGTAGGGGACTAATAACCTACTTTCACTTGCAAATTAAAGGATTTAAGTCAAAGACTAGGATGATTTTTTGTTTTCATTTTGTTGTTGTTGGAGGAAACAGGAGTACCCAGAGAGAAGCACTAACCTTTGGCATGAAAACAAATTAATGGAGGAGAGACACCAAGTGATCTCAATAGCTTTTCTGACCTAAATTGAACTAATCAACAATCACCCATGTTTTAAGAGCCTTCCATTGCCTTTCTTGTAAAACTTTTTTCAGTATTAGTTCCAAACTTAGCTGACATTTTACATGTATTGTAGTAACAAACTAAGAAAGCCACATTTTTCAAATACTCTTACTTCTGAAAGGTAGTGTAATTATCTTTAACTAAGAAAAATACTAAATACTCTTTATTTGTATAGATATATGTACATACATAAAAACATTTAAATTCATCATAGATAGTACACATAAATATATAAATAAACAACCATCACTGTCCTGAGAAAACTTATTCAAGTTAAAATTTTGTCTAATCTTGTTCCATTGGTATATCTTCTGTTTTATTTATTTGAGCTTCAGTTTCAAGCCTTACTCTTTCTTCGTCATCATTCGTAGCTTCTTTTAACGGTAAGGTAGAAGTTGCAACGTTGTTTGAATTATCTACAACAGATTCATTAGAATCCACATCCATAGATTCACAAGCTTCTGATAGCTGTAATCTTGCTTTTTTAGAATCACTTACTGAATCTCCACTTTCATTACACGATTGTAGTTGCTGCCTTTCTGATATTTCCAATTGTAACTTTTGATCTACAACCGGCAGATCTGACTGAGTTTGTTCCACTGTCAATGAACTATTGCTTTCTTTGAACTCTGAAAGAGGATCTGATGTCGATTGTTTTTGTTCTCCCTCTTTTTCATTTGATTGTTTTTCTGTAATTTCCAAAATTGGAGCTTCAGGATTTTCTGTATCACTGTCAGTTGATTGTTCTTTTTGGTCCGACTCACAAACTTGCTGGGCTATTGTGACAGTTTTTTCTGCCTCAGAACAGGCTTTGTTAACACTGTCCAAAATATTTTGTGCTTTTTCACAAATGTCTAATACTTTTTGAGATTTTGCACTGTCACTATCTTCATTACATTGTGAAGATTCAGTCTTTCCTGCTTTGTCAAAGGTATCTGGTAATTTTTCTGTTTCTTCATCTTGATCTGATGATTCCAGTTGTTCACCATCTCTTTCCTCTGTTTTTCTTTCTTCTTGGTCAACTTCAGAGACCTCATCAATCACTGCAGATTTTTCTGAAATAATTTAAATTTATAAAGTGATAATCTTGTAAAATAGTAATAATGCCATAGTATTAGTGAATAAAATGCTCCGCTGGGCGCAGCTTGATACGACCGCACAGGTCGAACCCTGAACATTTGGGGCAAATATGGACACAACATTCAAGCTTGATACAGCACTGAATTTGGATTGTAATTAAATATTTGACACAGCATAGGTTTCTGACACAGAATGAATGTGGTCTAAGAACTTAAAAAATTTTAATTTACCTATTCAAACCATATCATTATTATTTGCTTTTATATATAAATCAGAAATAACCAATTTAAAATTTTTAAAGAAAAAAAAAATCCCCCCCAAAATTTTTGAACCCCCTTATGATTCATCACCCCCAAACTCAATCCCAGCCTTCCTTTTGTGGTATGGTCCCTTGCAGTACAATTTCAGAGAGATCCATACACTTGAACACAAGTTATTGTCTGGAAAGTTGAAAAATGCTTGTTTTTTGGCCCCTAATTCCTAAACGTTTAGGGCAATTACCCCCAAAATCAATCCCAGCCTTTCTTTGTGGTATGGTACCTTGCAGTACAATTTCAGAGAGATCCATACATTTGAACACAAGTTATTGTCTGGAAACAAGAAAAATGCTTATTTTTGGCCCCTTTTTGGCCCCTAATTCCTTAACGTTTTGAGGCAATTACCCCCAAAATCAATCCCAGCCTTCCCTTTGTGGTATGGTACCTTGCAGTACAATTTAAGATAGATCCATAGATTTGAACACAAGTAATTGTCTGGAAACTAGAAAAATGCTTATTTTTGGCCCCTTTTTGGCCCCTTATTCCTAAACGTTTTGGGCAATTACCCCCAAACTCAATTCCAGCTTTCCCTTTGTGATATGGAACCTTGTAGTACAATTTCATAAAGATCCATACACTTGAACACAAGTTATTGTCTGGAAACTAGAAAGATGCTTGTTTTTTGGCCCCTTTTTGGCCCCAAATTCCTAAACGTTTAGGGCAATTACCCCCAAACTCAAACCCAGCTTTCCCTTTGTGATATGGAACCTTGTAGTACAATTTCATAAAGATCCATACACTTACACACAAGTTATTGTCCTGAAACTAGAAAAATGCTTGTTTTTCCCCCCTTTTTGGCCCCTAATTCCTAAAATTTTGAGGCAATTACCCCCAAAATCAATCCCAGCCTTTCCTTTGTGGTATGGTACCTTGCAGTACAATTTCAGAGAGATCCATACATTTGAACACAAGTTATTGTCTGGAAACAAGAAAAATGCTTATTTTTGGCCCCTAATTCCTTAACGTTTTGGGCAATTACCCCCAAACTCAATTCCAGCTTTCCCTTTATGATATGGAACCTTGTAGTACAATTTCAGAAAGATCCATACACTTACACACAAGTTATTGTCATGAAACTAGAAAAATGCTTGTTTTTTGCCCCTTTTTTGGCCCCTAATTCCTAAAATTTGGAGGCAATTACCCCCAAAATCAATCCCAGCATTCCCTTGGTGATATGGGACCTTGTGGTACAATGTCAGAGAGATCCATACACTAACCCACAAGTTATGTCTGAAAGTTACAAAAATGCTTATTTTTGGCCCCTTTTTGGCCCCTAATTCCTTAACTGTTGGTACCATAACCCCCAAAATCAATCCCAACCTTCCTTTTGTGGTATTGAACCTTATGGTAAAATTTCATAGAGATCCATTCACTTAAACTAAAGTTAAAGTGCGAAAACCAATGTGTCTTCGGACAACGACGACGACGCCAACGTCATACCAATATATGACCACAAAATTTTTTTTGCGGTCGTATAAAAATATATAGATATTTAGGCATGAAAGTACTCAAAAGCGACTAACCTGATATGGTTAAATGCACCTGGATTTTGTCTGCATGAAATGTGGAATCTCCTAATTTAAAGCAAGTTGATAGTTTCAGGGGAGATAACTGTCGGTGTTATGATTAATGTTCAATTGCTGTGTGTTTGTTTATTTCACATTGGTTACAGGTATAGGGGAGGGTTGAGATCTCACAAAAAATGTTTAACCCCGCCACATATATGTGGTGTCCCAAGTCGGGAATACCTAGCCTTTGTTAATCTTGTGTTTTTTAAATTTTTTTCATTTATGTGTTTCGGGGTTTAGTTTGGCATCCATTTTGCTGAACTAGTATACATTATTTTTAGTGGCCAGCTGAAGCCCACCTCCAGTTGCAGGATTTTTTTATGAATTGAAGACCCATTGGTGGCCTTTGGCTGTTTTCTGATCTTTGGTTGGATTGTTGTCTATTTGACACATTCCCTGTTTCCATTCTCAAACTTCACTTTGCAGCTAATTTTTTTTATCATGACATCATAATCATTATTGAAGTAATATTATCAATAAGATAAATGGATATATATACTCTTTGAATGTATACCAAAATCACATCTCCTCCAACAAATCTTTTCATCTGTGACTGATTGTTAAAAACAAATATGGATTTATTCATACCTTCCAAATTAGCACTTTCTGACAATGATGGGGATGAATCTGAACTTTCTTTCTGGACTGGACTATTTGTTGACTTGGTGAATACATCTTCATTATTTGTATCCTCATCACTGGGCTCAGTCCCTAAAGTCTCAGTTTCATATACATTGCTTGATTCCGGCAGGATCTGTTCTGTTAAATGTTCATCATCTACACTACCTTCTGATGTCACTTCCTCTTTGTCAATATTATATTGCGTTTGTTTAGGTTGATTTGAACCAAACAATTTATCAACAAAAGATGGCCAAGCTGACTGTGTTGGAGTTGGAAATGATGAAAATGGACTAGGTTTTGGAAAGGCTTCGTTTATGCCATTGGAATCTAATCCATTCACCATTGCCTGAGACTCAGAAACAATTTTCCTAGATAAATAAAAAATTCATATCTTAAGTGCATCCGTAAACCTACTCTTCTCTTCTTTTATAACATATATGAAAATATAAAATTTACACATGCAAGCAGAAATTCTATTCTAAATTCTCTAATCTACTGAAATTAACCATCCTTAAAAATGAAAAAAAAAAAAATGTTTGCCAGACACAAGGTGTGGAATAACAAGTTTAACTTTTGCCAAAGCTTAACTGGCCCAGAGAGTATTTCAATTCAGTATTTTAGTTCCTCAACAGGATGTATAAAATACTTAATTTCTTTAGTCTTATTTTTTGTAATTGGTTCAATTTGGTTGTCCTAGTTACTTTACATTTCAATGTATTTTCTTCAACTAACCTTTGGGTTATGCACTTAAGTTACACCTTTTGCTCTGTACTGATTTCACAAATTTCCTATCTTATTCTTTTTTAAGAAAGATCTTTCTTCATGATTCTCATTAGCCTTAATACAAACTAACCTGATGGGATTCATGGGATACCAATTTTTTTTTATTACGTAGGCATAGGTGAACCACAAATTTAAACAAAGCATAAATTTTCTATAGGCTTATATGCAAACTTTGGTAAAAACCCTGAAATCAAACATCCACAATAATACAATTTTTCTACAATCCACTTAAATTGTTACCCACAAAAATAAATGAATCCACAGTATGTTTTGGCTGATCAGAAATTAAGACATCACTGTGAATTCTGAAGAAACGTTTTCATTCATGGATGCTTATTATGACTGGTCTTTGCTCTTACTCCCAAATTTAATGTGTGTTCCAGAGAAGAAGCAAATGTCAATTTTTAAGTCTTTGCATTGACTCAGTCATATATTGAACCTGAGACCACCTGCCCTCTTGTCAAGCTCACTACCACTAAAACCATCATGGCTCAAGGCATGAACTTCAGAATAAAGTCTTGCAGCAGTTATCTGCCATCTATGCATGAAAAAGACAAGTCAACAGACAGTCCTTATCCTATCTTCCAATATTTAGAACAAATGACTTTCCACTGACCAATCAATCGACAAATAATACATCAAACACATGAACACCAAGCTCAATGCAACAACTGTCAATCAATTACAGACTGTGTATTCCATATTTTCATAAAGTAACTTATTTCTTGTGGCAATCATTTTGTTGAATATTTAATGGTCTTTTAAAAGGAGTGTAAAGGATTCCAGTATGTGATCTTTGAACTCTGATCTTGTAAATAGATTTATGCTTTTATCCTGGTGATTGTTTGCATTAAGTGCTACGATTTATCTCAAGTGATTTACTATGTACCAATATCGTTTTGATAGTGTTGACATGGACAAGTATGTAAATATACTCCAGAGACATGACGTTATGTTGGAAAGAAACCTTGTGCAACTTGGTTGAGGAGAGAAAACATATGTTACTTTAAGTATTAAATAACTTACCTTCCAAATGGATCTATTGTAGTCACCACTGACACATTCTGAAATAACACAGTGCTTTTGATTATTTTCAAGATGTCAAAGGTCTCAAACTGCAAATCATATTATTGTTACACAAAAAGAAGAGATAGTATTTGCTCACAACTTCTTGTATTTCACAAATGACAAGGTCTGCATATTTCAGCTGGTTCCATACATTTTGCGTATTTGTGTTTGCAGTGACACATTAGATTACAAAGACACATAATTTACCAATGACTTTAATCTTTTACAACAGAGATAGAGATTTCATTAATGGGTAATAACTAAGTTTTTTTACTGATCAAGAGATTTATTGTTGAAGCACAGTGATTTTAAACAAATATATTTCACATAAGCTTTCATGTAAATAATTTTTTTAATAAATTAAGCAAGTCTGTAATAGTCTTGAATCTGTCTTGCAAATTTAACATGTCAAATCATTTGAGAGCAAAAGTAAATGTGTTAAAAAAATTTCTTTACACATGCCGTTTTCCAAGTTAAAAATGTACATTCATTTGAATATTGAGAATTGACACACTATATTGAAAATTATTTTGATACTTTTATACACAAAAAAATCATCTGTACTATTCCAATTGAAAATTTTGTTTTGGAAGTCTGGTATAATGGATGTGGACAAATGTAAATGATATAGCTAACATATGCTTACAACCAGGTGAGCTTAAATGCCTTACCTTTTCAATGCCTCTCAAAAATTTGTCACATCTTTTATAATGTCTTTTTGGTTCATTGATTAATTCACAAAGCCTCTGAACAGTAAATGGTGCCCTAAAAGTACAAAAATGAATAACAATAGATTCAGTTTAAATAAAAATTATACTACTCAAATTTAGTTAACTTGTCTCTCCATCTACATTTGTATTTTGTTCTCACTAGACTCTTTTGTATAATCATTCTGTAGATTAGAGACAATTTCTTGGATTTTGACCTTTAGATGTTCTGTTGAAGTGGCAACCATGTCCATTGATTCTGTTTTTTTAAAGGGGCCATTAAGGAATATTCTTGCTTTAAAAGGGTTTGTTCTGCAGATTAATTATCATCCACTTGATTTCTTTTCAAGCCAAGCAACAAGCAAGTGACTCATTTTAAAATCAGTGGTTCACTTATATTGCAGCTATACATGCACAAGTGAAGTCATGAAAAGATTACTCAACATACAAAAATCCTGACTAAATCCCTGGTGGTTTTCAATTTCTGCAAAACTTTCCAACCCATTAATTTTATCATGAGAAAAAAATTTGGAAAGTCTGTCTTTTTGGTGTTTTTTTATTTAAAGATGGTAAACACAGTGAGTTACAATAAACTAATCTTCCCTGAGGCCCTAAAAAAATGAATAATTTTGATTAATATACATGTATATGAAAACTGAGTGCTTATGAAATGCAACACCAATCTGTTTTCCAATTTAATAAATCACAATGAACCCCTCAAGGCAAAGGTTATCATAAAGGCAATTGTCTTTAGCATTTCAATCTCATCAGGATGAAAATTTTTGCAAATTTAGGTACTGAAATAAGTCAATTCAAGTCAAATGTGTTCAATTCATGTCTTCAAGGAATGCATTAAAAGATATTTTTGTATTTTCATTCAAAAATGTACCAGAGGGCTCAGAATATGATTTTTTGAGTTTCTATTTGCACTCAGAATTTATATGATACCCAGAATCTATATGTAGGACTTACAAAGATACTAAGAAAAACTGTGGGAAATAGAATCTATGGAGTAAAAATATGCCACTTTATACAAATATTACTTTCATTGAAGTCTACAGTGACACTTGCAATTTCTGCTTTTTCAAGCAACAATATTTTTCTATTTTGAAGTAAAGAAAGTCAGAGAAGATTTATTGATTCAGGAAGGAAGTGAATTCATTGATGTAGTAAACTAGTCGTTGTTCATTGTATGTATTCTTCAATATAGAAGTAAGTTAGAGTTACCCTTACATTGCACATAGACAGGGTTATACCTACATGTATATACTCCCCAAAACTGTGTTTGAACTTTGAAGGGGTATACATGTATAATAAAATGGACACTAATGGCACACCAGGAATAATATAACAAGCAAAATTTTCTTAATTTGAATAATAGATATGAGGTATATGTCAATGAGACAGCAATCAAATGACTAAATCAACACACAGTCTGTTCGTGTTGCTCAGTCTTTAGTTTTCTATGTTGTGTTTTGTGTACTGTTGTTTGTCTGTTGGTATTTCTTGTTAAGCCATGGCGTTGTCAGTTTATTTTCGACTTATGAGTTTGATTGTCCCTTTGGTATCTTTTGCCTCTCTTTCAATAAGAGACAGGTGTAACCAAAAATCAATTAATCAATCAATTAAATTTTTAATTATAGTATTTTGTTTCTGAATAGTTGTTAGAGAAATTCAAAATGTATAAGTATATACTCATTTAAGAAATGTGTTAATGAAATTTTCCGCCCGTTTAGAATATGGGCAACAGGCACTGCTATGAATCTGATTATTATTATGATGTTTTCTTATGTTCTATTGGTTGTAATTGTTGTTGAATTGAGTTTATCATGTTTATAACAAGTATTTTGCTAATATTAAAATGACCCAATTTTTTTATGAGAAATTTTCTATTTTTTTACCCTTGAAATTCATCCATTAAGGACAGAATTCTCTTTCTCATTTCGTCATATTTTACTGGCTCTATGTTTGGTGTTGTCTGCAATAAATCTGTTGGACTGGTCTCCTTGAACTGTGTCATGACTAGATCAACTTTTGCCACAAATAACTTTTTCAGCTGATGCCATGGAAATCTGAAAAAAATTAGTAAAATTACATTATACATGAGAATTCTTTCTATTTCTTGCATTTGTAAATAGACCTAAGAGGTAAAGTCCTTAAGCAGAAAAATTCTTCAATAATGCATGCATTCAGACTGAGAGCACTTTTTAATGGATATTCTGTATTTCTGTTTTCTATGAAAGTCACAGAATCCAAAATAAGAATTGATTCTTAAATAAAAGACAAGAAATAATCCAAACATACATGTACAAAAAATGTACTTACGCCTGTATTACCTTATGTCATCATTACTGATCTGCAGCTACATTTATACATAGAAACCGGAAGTCCACAAAGGAGTTTTTGTAAATCTATTTTGACTTTGTAAGTCCTTGTGGCTTATGTATCGTTTTCTGTGGTTTTGCATAGTATACAGTTTCTCATTGTCGATTTGTTAAAGTACATGTAAGTAAAGATATGAAGCTGTCAAACTGTATATGCGGTATCCTTTATTTTCAAGTTTGATGGGATAGATATATCTATGGGTTCAACTTAGTCACAATAATTTGAGTTATTAAGTGAGAGGACATACATTGTAATGTGAATTCATTGGATAATGCTAGTATCTATTTATTCTTCCTGAGAAGCTCAAAAGAACAAGTCAGCAAGAAGAGGAGCACAGTTGGTTCCAATAGGAATGCCACTTGTCTGAAGAAAAAAATACTGTCCTCCAAATGTAAAAATATATGTCAACATTACAACTTGTCAATAAAGTAATCATCTCCCTGATGTTAGTCTCAGAAAACTATTTGTTTGAATTTGAGTTGTTTTGGTAAAACAAAACAATATACATGTATTTGTATCTAATTTAAGGCATTCTTTACATAAAACAAAGTTCACCTTACTCTTTCAATCTGTAATGTCTGTCTATAAGTTTAGAATGAGGAAGTATTTGAGTAGAGGGTATAGAAGTCATTTTGTACATACAATTGATGAGGGAAGAGACTTATAAAGTTACCCAACAGATCTTCAGTATTTTTAAGCATCCACATCTGATTCACACTGCCCTTATAGCAGGTTGATTCTAAGTAACTCTGAAGCAGGATTTTAATTGCTCATTCAATTGCTCATAAAATAGATGTTTTGATAGTTTTTATGGGGGTATACCAGGGTATATCATGTAGGGTTTTCAAGAGAATCTGCAAGACCTGATCCCTTAATCATGCAGTAAATGTACTGTTATTTACAAGCTTAATCTAAATTGTTATGGGTTTTGCCCCACTCATGAAAAAGAGTTAAATCTCGCTGAATTTGGGCCTACCATATTGCCCCACTTGTGAGAGGTAGTTTAATCTTGATGATTTTAGGCCTACCAACTTGCTCAACTATTGAAAAGTAGTTAAATTGTTAATCTGATGAATAAAAGTCTACCAACTCACCCCATTTATGAAAAGTAGTTTAATCCTGATGAATAAAAGTGTGCCAACTCACCCTACTTATGAAAAGGAGATTAATCTCTATGAATAAAGGCCTCTTATCCCACTGAATTTAGATCTGCCATTTGTCCCAATAATAATAAAATGCTCCGCAGGGCGCAGCTTGATACGACCGCAGAGGTCGAACCCTGAACAGTTGGGGCAAGTATGGACACAACATTCAAGCTTGATACAGCTTTGCATTTGGATTGTGATTAAATATTTGACACAGCATAGGTTTCTGACACAGAATGAATGTGGTCTAAGAACTTAAAAATTTTAAATTGGACATTCACCTATTATGGTCCAATATCCAAAATCTAAATACATGGTTAGATTCAGCATATCAAAGAACCCCAAGAATTCAATTTTTGATGAAATCAAACAAAGTTTAATTTTGGACCCTTTTGACCTCAATGTGGACAAAGTTGATAACAGGGCCCAAAAATCAAAAATCTAAATACATGGTAAGATTCAGCATATCAAAGAACCCCATATATTCAATTTCTGTTGAAATCAAACAAAGTTTAATTTTGGACCCCGATTTGGACCAACTTGAAAACTGGGCCAATAATCAAAAATCTAAATACATGTTTAGATTCAGCATATCAAAGAACCCTAAGAATTCAATTTTTGTTAAAATCAAACTAAGTTAAATTTTGGACCCTTTGGACCTTAATGTAGACCAATTTGAAAACGGAACCAAAAATTAAGAATCTAAATACACGGTTACATTCGGCATATCAAAGAACCCCAATAATTCAATTTTTGATGAAATCAAACAAAGTTTAATTTTGGACCCTTTGGACCTCAATGTGGACCAATTTAAAAACGGGGCCCAAAATCCAAAAACTAAATACACGGTTAGATTCAGCATATTAAAGAACCCCAAGAATTCAAGAAAAAAAACCCATTGAAATTGGTCAAGAAATAAGCAATTTATACGAAGTATCTTCTTTTGCACAATACTGTGCAATTAAATATTTCTTGCTATTGCGCAATACTGTACAATTGACAATTTCTTGCTATTGCGCAATATTGTGCTATTGGATATTTCTTGCTATTGCGCAATACTGTGCAATTGAAGATTTCTTGCTATTGCGCAATACTGTGCAATTGAAGATTTCTTGCTATTGTGCAATACTGTGCAATTGAAAATTTCTTGCTATTGCACAATACTTATTATATAATAATTTACACATCCTGTTTGGTGTGTATCTCCTACCATATCATTATTATTTGCTTTTAAATATAAATCAGAAATAACCAACTTAAAATGGAAAATTTTAAAAGAAAAAAAAATGAAAAAAGAAAAAAAATGAAAAAAAAAAAATCCCCCCCCAATTTTTTGAACCCTCTTATGATTCATCACCCCCAAACTCAATCCCAGCCTTCCCTTTGTGGTATGGTACCTTGCAGTACAATTTCAGAGAGATCCATACACTTGAACACAAGTTATTGTCTGGAAACTAGAATAAACTGCTTCGCTGAGCGCAGCTAGATACGCCCGCAGAGGTCCAACCCTGAACAGTTGGGGCAAAAATGGACACAATATTCAAGCTTGATACAGGTCTGAATTTGGATTGTAATTAAATATTTGACATATTATAGGTTTCTGAATAAATGTAGTCAAAGAACTTGAAATTGGTTATATGAATTGAATTTATATTCAATTAAAGATTTCTTGCTGTTGTGCAATACTTAGTAAATCTGTTGTCAGACTATAAAAAAATAAAGTTCAATTAATTCTCAATGTCATATTAGAAATTTATGAAAATAAAAGGGAGCTTACATCAATAGATATAAACAGTTCACCAAAGTTTCATGAGAATTGGTGACAGAATTTTTGAGTTATTGTCCGAAAACTGGAAAATCACCCCCTTTTTTAATGAATAAAACCCCCATAACTCAGAAATGTAAAATGTAAAATTTATAAAATTCTAAAGGGAGCTTACATCAATACATACAAACAATTCACCACAGTTTCATAAGAATTGCTGAAAGCATTTTTGAGTTTTTGTCCGAAAACTGGAAAATCCCCCCTTTTTTATGAATAAAACCCTGTAACTCCGAAACGTAAAATCCCAAATTTATAAAAATCGAAAGGGAGCTCATGTCAATAGATATAAACAATTCACCACAATTTCTTGCAAGTTGGTGAAAGCATTCTTGACTTATTGTCCCAAAACTGGAAAATCCCCCTTTTTTTAATGAATAAAACCCCATAACTCAGAAACGTAAAATCTAAAATTTATAAAAAACGAAAGGGAGCTCACGTCAATAGATATAAACAATTTACCAAAGTTTTATGCAAATTGGTTGAAGCATTTTTGAGTTAATGTCCGACATGTTGACGACGGACAGACGGACGGACAGACGGACGGACAGAGGTATACCATAATACGTCACGTAAACGGGCGTATAAAAATGTGTTTTTTGGCCCCTTTTTGGTCCCAAATTCCTAAACGTTTAGGGCAATTACCCCCAAACTCAAACCCAGCTTTCCCTTTGTGATATGGAACCTTGTAGTACAATTTCAGAAAGATCCATACACGTACACACAAGTTATTGTCCTGACACTAGAAAAATGCTTGTTTTTTGCCCCTAGTTCCTAAAATATTGAGGCAATTACCCCCATCATCAATCCCAGCCTTCCCTTTGTGGTATGGTACCTTGCAGTACAATTTCAGAGAGATCCATACACTTGAACACAAGTTATTGTCTGGAAACTAGAAAAATGCTTATTTTTGGCCCCTTTTTGGCCCCCAATTCCTAAACGTTTCGGCAATTACCCCCAAACTCAATTCCAGTTTTCCCTTTGTGATATGGAACCTTGTAGTACAATTTCAGAAAGATCCATACACTATCACACAAGTTATTGTCATGAAACTAAAAAAATGCTTGTTTATTGCCCCTTTTTTTGCCCCTAATTCCTAAAATGTTGAGGCAATTACCCCCAAAATCAATCCCAGCATTCCTTTTGTGATATGGAACTTTGTGGTACAATGTCAGAGAGATCCATACACTAACACACAAGTTATATCTGGAAGTTACAAAAATGCTTATTTTTGGCCCCTAATTCCTTTACTGTTGGTACCATAACCCCCAAAATCAATCCCAACCTTCCTTTTGTGGTATTGAACCTTGTGGTAAAATTTCATAGAGATCCATTCACTTAAACTTAAGTTAGAGTGCGAAAACCAATGTGTCTTCGGACGACGCCGGACGACGACGCCAACGTCATACCAATATACGACCACAAAAATTTTTTTGCGGTCGTATAAAAAGGAGATAATGCAGCTTTAAATAGAGATACAATGTAGGTCATAGAATGATAGCTCATCGTCATTGTTCTTCTTGTTGAGACGTCTGTGCCAACCTTCTACGTTGTTGTTTGCCTCCTGGGTTGGTTGAATACACACCATCTGGTAAAAAAGAGCTGTTTGCCTCCTGGGTTGGTTGAATACACACCATCTGGTAAAAAGAGCTGATGATCCAGGTTTTGCACACATACTAGGCGATTAGCATCTGTATTAAACTCTTTTTCAAAAGTTGGGAGAGTTGGCAGGCCTAAAATTAGCGTGATATGACTCCCTTTCGTAAGCAGGAATTAACTCCTTTTCAACAGTGGAGCAAGTTGAAAAACAAGAGTGGGGTGGGTTGTCTTCCTTCTGAATTTGAAAAAGGATACTTCAGAAAAACAATAATGATTGATCATCCTGAAAATGCATGAAATATTTGCCACTGGACATTAAACAACCAATAATGATTGAAAGCATGTTTTAAAATACAAAATTGTATAACAACTTAGGCTGAGGTAACAGAAATTAATTAACAGTATGTGTGAACCAAAGATATCAAGTGAAGCTTTTAAATTGTCCAAATTAATGTTGGATGCCTTAAAATTTGTTGACAACTCAGAAGTAAATCAGACAGTTACCAAAAATCGTAAATTTTGGTGTTGCTACATACAATGTAACAATGAACTGAATGCAATGGCTTTTCTCAAACTAATTTTCACTATTTAACAAAATTTGTGGAACTTTTGCCTTTAAATTGTCCGAATAATTATGACGTCTTAAACTGTTAAAAGCCTATTTTACTTTTTTGCATTGACGCCTTCCTACGTCAGAAGTATTTGTTCTACTGTTGCCTATGATTTGGTCAGTTTTTCCAAACCTGTTTAAAAACTCTGGCATCCTCAAAACTCCTGAAACCAAGTTTTGCGCAAAGGTATCGAATACACCTTATCGCTATTCCCGTTTGACCCGATAATCTGTCCCGCTTGAACTTTTGACGTCATACAACAATCACTTTTCCATTGTGGCGTCAGATATTTTCTATTATGACATCAAAAATTTTATGGGAACTTTTGTGATGTCCAGTAATGGCGGACAAATAGCGATAAGGTGTATTATAAATCTTCATGGGAATTATAGTTATTTCGTACCATTGTAAACTCGTACCACTACAAAAAAGCTCGTACCAATGCAAACTTGTACCATGGTAAATTCATACCATTGTAAACTCGTACCAACTTATTTAAATGCATTCAAATGGTGTTTATAAAATTCAAGTAATTCAACTTTTTTTATTAAGTTTACCAAAAAAAATCATAAAACATTCGTATTTTTGAATATATTTTTAATGGTACGAGTTTGCAGTGGTATGACTTCCCAGTGGTACGAGTTAACTTTTTTGGTACGAGTTTACGTGGTACGAGTTTACAATGGTACGAGTTAACTTGCTTCACTTCATGGCATGGGGTGAGGGCTTCAGTTATAAATGAAAATATAGTATGTTGACAACAGTATGACAAAGAAGCTAGATAACTTATTAATAAAACATACAAAGTTTTGCCTGTTTTTGCAACTTGCTGCAGATACTGGTCTAATAATGGAGGGATTTCTGTGCATGGTTTCTTCTCAAATTCTGGAAGAAAAATATGAAGTCTGTTAAATTCACATATCTCTATTAACGAATCAAATTTAAAACAGAGAATATCTCAATTCAATACACTTGTCATTGATTATCTTGTGTCATAAATTTTTGGTATATTACCGTTCAAAGCGTCTAAAATATCCTCTTTGTTTTCCATTCTCTAACTAGAGGTCAACAAATGGCGGCACGGAAATGACGTTATGGCGCAACTTACTTCATTATTTAGGGGTGTTAGGTAAGTTCATTTCTAATATTTTAATATTACAATTATATTACTTTAAAAGTTCACTGAATACACTTTGAATGAATTAAAACAGATATATTGTGTTGATAGAAAATATAAAACTGCCATGGTAGGTGTAGGGAAACAGTGGAACCCCTTGAGTTCAATCTTAGTATTTCCCCTTTACCTGTTTTACCTGTATCACGGCGGGACAACTCGTGTAGAACCAAAATATTTGGTCAAATATTATTAAGGTAATTTACACTGACTTACATATTTATCGAAATCCAATTTGACAGCTGCTACTGAAATATTCACTAAAATTAAAGAAGTAAGCGGCATGTTGAATTTCATGATTCCTGAACCTGGAACAGGTCGTAAGTAATCAGTGTAAAACAAGTTGTCCCATTCATTAAACGAACTTGCAACAATACTTCCACTGGTCCTTAACTGCATGTTCTTTTTAGCCTTTACACACCAAGTATATACTGGATGAAACTGCACTCAGAAATAAAATTAAAAAGTTTTTGAACCTGAGTATGCATACAATGATACATCACTTCAAATACTTACAAAAATTTTAGGTGTGTATACTTTAGTGTCTCTGGCTTCTTTTTCCTTAGCTCAGAAGGAACTGTACAAGAAATGCTAAAAAAACATATTATTTACAGCGTTCCTGATGAAGGTAAATCCAGATTAATTATAAAGCACTTCGGACACATGAAATTTATAAAGTGTTTTCATTTTTTATAAATTTTAGTAGGATCTTCTTATCTTAAAAACAAGCTTACATGTATTTGATAGTATAGTATAGTTTTATTCATGCAAATTCAAGCCCATATACAAAGTTCTGAATTATAATTTCTCAGATTTGTCACAATGCTTTCAAATTAAAGAAATAATAGTGAGTTGATACAATGAACATCATGTACATATCCTAGATGTACATGTAAGTCCTCAGAAATTGTCAGTTTAAGAGTGTAACTATAGATTAAGAACCTGAGTAAAGGTACCGGTAATTAAAAAATTGCAAAAGCAAGTTCAAATGGACAGTATGCTACATGTACATGTATTTAAAAGAAATCTGCAGTAATTATTTTATTTATTTTCAACAAGTTTATTTTACAGATATGATACATGTACCATACCTTGCATCAATGGAAGCTTATTCTTAGAGTAACATAAAAAAAGTCACTGTAAGTAATTTTGTATAGTAAACTGATGGAAATTAGAGAGTCAGACTTTCTATTCAGTATCTCATTGATGCATTGCAATAACAACAGAGCCTATAGTTATAGATCTTGATTCACTGGGCAGTGACAGATACCAAAGATAGTTGCCAGTTATACCACACACTCAATCTTGTTCTATCAGTTAATCAAACTAGAGGCTCTAAAGAGCCTGTGTCGCTCACCTTGGTCTATGTGCATATTCAACAAAGGACACTCTCTAACATTGTAGACGAGAATAAAATTCATGACAATTTTGTTGATCTTGTATTGCTGATTACTTACAAAAAATGTAGTCTGTTTAGTTTCTCCCTATCTTCTTTAGTTTTTGGTCAAAACAAAAAAGAGGATAAAAAAAAATCCTCATTTAAAGGCAATCACTCCTATAAAGAGTGACAGTCTATTATCTATCGGCAAAATTTGACTTGTTCGTAGATCTTGCCTTGCTGATCATTTTTGTGATTTAATGTGTCTATTTATCTATTATAATTCTTATTATAAAGGGAAAAACACAAAAAAAATGGTAAAAATCGTCATTAAAGGGCAGTAACTCCAGTAAGGAGTTGTCGGACGAATTCTTCTTCATTGTCTTAATTGTTGATCTTGTCTTGCTGACCATTTTTGCTTATTTAAGTTTCTATCTATCTATTATAATTTTTAAAATATAAGGCAAAAAAGCAGAAAATTGGTAATAATCGTCATCAAAGGGCAATTACTCTAATAAGGAGTCGACTGACAATTTCGACCATGAAAATTATTTGTAGAACTTATCTTTCTGATCATTTTTGCAAAAATTAAGTTTCTCTCTATCTATTATAATTTTCAAGATATGTAATAGGCAAAAATGAAAAAAAATGGTAAAATTTGATATTAAAGGGCAATAACTCCTATAAGAAGTAGTCTGACAGTTTTGACATAAGTAGACAATTGGTAGAGCTCAACATTCTGAACATTTTTGCACATGTCAGATTTTCTCTATTTATAACGGTTTTCTAAATAATAGACAAAACTTGCATTTTACCCCTATGTTCTATTTTTAGCCATGTCGGCCATCTTGGTTGGCAGGCGGGGTCATCAGACACATTTTTTAAACTAGATACCCTAATGATGATTGTGGCCAAGTTTGGTAAAATTTGGCCCTGTAGTTTCAGAGGAGATTTTGGTAAAAAGTTAACAGACGACGATGGACGACGGAAGATAGATGCCAAGTGATGAGAAATGCTCACTTGGCCCTGTGGCTGATATTCCATCAGTATTAAGTATATACATTTCCATACATTGGTTTGCTTTAGTCCAATAAAATAGCACATATTTTTTGTCAAAAGAAGAGTAATTTAAATTAGGCCGTTAGTTTTCTTGTTTGAATTGTTTTATGTTTGTCATTTTGGGGCCTTTTATAGTTGACTATGCGGTATGGGTTTTGCTCATTGTTGAAGGCGGTACGGTGACCTATTATAATTTCTGTGTCATTTGGTCTCTTGTGGAGAGTTGTCTCGTTGGCAATTATACCACATCTTCTTATTTTTATAATTAATCTTGTAGGAAAATATATGTAAAAATGTTCCTAGAAAATATAAACTCTATGAACTATACATGGAACTTGTTTAAGCCTTTGTTTTTTTTCCCCAATTCAATCTACTGACATGACTGAAATGCTACTTCATATTTCAATTTTGTTTATAAAGTTACAAGAAAAAGATATAGTAAAGGCCAACAGTACTTAGTCTTATTACAAAATGTTTTAGCCCCCCTCCCCTACTCATAAAAAAAAAAGAAAAAAATCTTTTAAACCAAATGTCTCCCAAATCAATATTTAGTGTTTCTTTTTCAGTTATTGTTTTACCTTGTCATTTAACCAACCTTTTAAGTATTATTATTTTATTAAATACTAATTATGCAATATGATGTTTTCCTTTGCCACTATAGTATTTTCATCCCTAAATGGTAGTGAAATGGTCTTATGATGATCACCAGATGCAGGATTTGTACAGCGATATGAGTAGAAATTGTTTTTAGAAAGAGAAGACTAGACAAATTTTATTCTTTTTCAACAATTTTAAACACATTGTTGGGTCATGTTAGAAATAAAAATGATAGCTGTGCTTTGTTCTTTTTCAGATGAATTCTGGACAACAAAAGTATGGTTTAGCAGAGTTGCTGGCCTTAAGTCATGCAGAGTTTGACACACAGATCAAAGAAATGAGTTTAAAAGTTTGTGAAATATAATTCTAAAATTGTTGTGTTGCTCCAATGACTGAAAGGGGCATATACATACATGTATATTTTTTGTGCTTCTGTTTGTATGTTCTTATCACTTTTAGTTTTAAAATGATTAAGTACAACTGTTATTCTTGCTCAAAACCTTTTGACATTTTACAAAATGTCATTTACCAAAACTACAGGTTCATTTTATTCTATGGATATTTGTTAACCATTTTGAGTTATAACCCTTGTGCATCTATATAATCAGAACATCTACTCGCTTAAGATAGATTTCCTAGCTCAAAATATTTTCTGAGTGTAGATTTTCCAACTCAAAAATATTTCCTGAGTGTAGATTTTCCAACTCAAAAATATTTCCTGAGTGTAGATTTTCCAACTCAAAAATATTTCCTCAGTGTAAATGAAGATGTTTACCACAAAAACAGCATGTGATTTCAAGGTTTGATAATGAGGGAGAATTAGATATAAATATTTTGATGTGTCCTTTTGCTTGTCTAAAAATATTTTTGTCATGTTTTTGGATTTTCCAATGAGATTTTTGGGGAAATAATGACAGTGTAGAACTTATCGTTATTTTGGAATCTGCGTCATTTGAACTATTGACGTCATATAAAAATCACTTTTCCTTTGTGGGTCAGACATTTTCTATTGTGACTTCAAAATTTTACAGAACCTTTGTGATGTCCAGTAATGGTGGTCAAAAAGTGACATTAAGGTGTATTAGCTAGATTTCTACCCCTATTATAATCTTTTACGTCCCAAAATTGGTTTCCATTCTCTAACTAAAGTTTTCTTCAACCAAATACTATGAAACTTATACACAATGCTTATTATCACAAAACACAGATAAGGTTGGTTTTGGGTGGTGTCACTTTTACTGTTCTAGAGTTATGCCCCTTTACAAATGGAAAAAATTGCTGAATTTTTCGTTTCAGTTCTCTAACTTAAGTTTGCCTCAACCAAATATTATGAAACTTATACACAATGCTTATTACCACAAAACACAGATCAAGTTTGAATGTTGGTGGCGTCACTTTTACTGTTCCAGAGAAATGCCCCTTTACAAATTATGGAAAAATTGCTGAATTTTTTGTTTCTGTTCTCTTACTTTAGTTTGCCTCAACCACACATTATGAATTTTTTGCACAATGTTGATTACCACAAAACACAGATCAAATGTGAATTTTGGTGGCGTCACTTTTACTGTTCTAGAGTTATGCCCCTTTACAAATGGAAAAAATTGCTGAATTTTTCGTTTCCGTTCTCTTACTTTAGTTTGCCTCAACCAAATGTTATAAAACTTATACACAATGCTTATTACCACAAAACTCAGATCAAGTACAAATTTTGGTGGCGTCACTTTTACTGTTCTTGAGTCATGTCCCTTTATAACGTTATAAGCAAGTGGGGGCATCATCTGTGTCCCATGGACATGTTCCCCATTTATTTATATTACTTGTACTCCACATCTGTGTACTTCAATGCACAGATGTTGTCTTACTGACATCTAGCAAAAAATAACACTCAAACTGGTGCAAAATGATTGTTTTGAATATGCAGTCAAATGTGAGCTTTTGCTCCATGTTGAAGGCCTGACAATGACTTTAAGAAGAAGGTCAGCAATGATAACAATGTTGTATTATTTTGAGTTTTATCAATTGCTAATAAGGGTCATATATCAATTGCAAAAATTGGTAAATCATAAAAATAATTCATTGTTTGTGCTTATAAATTAAACAGTAGAACAATTCTTTATTTAAAATGCCATGCATAACTTAGAGATAGTATTACATTATAAGCAAGTTAGTTTGTCAATCCTTATTAACTTTAAAATATTTTATAGGAATTGATTTTGGACTTATACCAACATACCCATATATATAATATGAAATACCAAAATTAAACTTTCTTCTAACAATGGCTAGTACAATATTGGAAATTGGAATGAAATATGATACTTTTGATTTCAGAATCTCCTTGACACCATCTCTACACTTCAAAAAGAAATGTCCAAAGAGCAAGAAAATTTTAACTCTTTGAGTGCAGAGATGTCATCTCTCAATAAGAAATCTCAACAGTATAAACAGATCTCAAAAGAAGTGACAGAATCTCAGGCTCGTCTCACAGCTTTAATGGATCGTAGTATGAAGTGCTTTCAGCAGGTAAATTAACTATTTAAAATGTTGAGAAAAAAATGTTCAAGAATCAAGCAGCGATACCAAAAAAGAAAAACCAGTGGATAGGAGAAAGTATGACATGGCAGTTATTTTGACCTCAGATGTGAAGACACAGTGTTAGAAATCTTTGAAGTACCATCCTTTAGAAACTTGTAAAACATTAGTCTGTCAGGTAACAGTCTCTAGAGCACTTCAAAGGATCTCCTTTGTGTAGAAATTAGCCCACTAGTTCAAATTATTATTACAAGGGCATGAAAGAATTACATTTTGTTGATACTTTTTTTTTTTTTTGCATTTTACAAGGTCATGCTTTTCTGAGACTGCTTATGACATCTTTACACTAAATTAGATGGAGGTGTACTGGCTGTTTGGTCACTTTATTGGATAGTTGTCTCATTGGCAATTTTACCACATCTCCTTATTTTTTATATTTGCAAATGATAAAATTTTAGGCCCTTTGTATACTATATATATTGATACAAGACGTTTTCCTAAATGAAAATATATTTGAATAATTATTTTTGTAAGGCCATATAAAATGTCTATTTTTGGTCAGTTATACCAGTTTTGATATGTTTTCAGCACAGGTGTCTATACAATCTGTCAAACTCTAAATTGTTCGAATTCAGAGTCTATAAAAGTTGTGAATAAATTTAACTTGAACAAAATCAAATATCTGCCATCAACACCCAAAACTCCAAATAGTGGAAAACATTAACATAAGATGTAATGAAAATGTGGAAGGGTTAAACCCTCAACACTCTCCTTTATAAAAAATCTTGATCAGTTATTTTGAAACAAAGTTCAAAATAATCGAAATTTTGTAGAGCAAAGAAATACGATTGTTACTAACAACTTTTAAAGCTGTTTGTTTCACACATTATTTTGATTTCTAAAGCCTCAAAGAATTTTCTTAGCATTAGTAAGTATTATTCTTTAGATGGAGCATGCTGGACAATTTCTTTTTTACAACCAGAATAAAGGTACAGGGGCTTGGGTTTATTATATCAGATTGAGATTAAAGGTGTAATTATTTTTGATTTATATGTCATATTTCTGTATTTCCAATTCACCTGGACCTAAGAGCTTATCTCACCTATTGTAAACTTTGAAAATCTTTTGTATAACCACTGGACCATTTTCAGTTTATTTTCTTATCAAATTTTCTCTTTGGGTAGGCAACTTAAGGATGTATTCTTCTGATTTTTCAGTCTCGTTGAAATCTTGTTTGAGAATTATTTCATGTGATACAAGTGAAAAATATCAATGAATTTAAAAAATATTATAATCAAACTTAACTCTGTGAAAAAATTGTGTACTTACAATAAGTAGTTTTTGAGTAATAAAATTTTCAAAGTTTTTAACCAATCTGGTCAGTGTCATCAGCCAAAATGTTGAGAAAATGGGTGAGAGGTAAAAAGAAATGATTTTACCAAAAATATGTACATCCCATTCCCATATCAATTTTTTCTTTTCAAAATTCTTAGGTATGTATTTTGTCAATCATTTATAACAAAAAAGTTGAAATAATATGCTTTTTGTTCTAAAAAAGAGAAAAATCCCAAATTTACAAAGTTGACGGCATGGTGGTCAATTTGACATGAAAAAGCAACAAAATTTTATAAAACTTTCTAATATTTACACCAACTTATAGTTTTTTTAAGTTAAATTTATTCAGATTGGTCCACTTCATCTTTAGTGAAAGTATGAAAGAAAGTTTAATTGTGAAACTATGATTTTTTTCATGATATTAGCCCAAAAATGGGTAAAAATTATGAAAAATGGGAAAATCATTTAAAATGGGGTACTTTCCAATGGCCGCAGCAAAAAAAGAAGTGCACCACCATCTGATTTCTTCTTCATCAATTACTTTCTTACAGTCATATAAACCCAAAAATCAGGTTAAGACAAAAAGTTTTAATTCTAGAAATTTTTGGCTCCTAAGAGGTGTACATCCTTTTAACCCTTACCAGGAGAATGATGCCTTGAGGCATCGCCACTCATGCGCTGAATGATGCCTGAAGGCATCATGGATTCGTGAAACTGGCCATGTTCAGTTTCTAAAAAAAATAAAAGCTACCTTTTAAAATGTTTTTTCACAATTTTGTTGTCTAGTTTTCTTTCTTTTCCCTAAATAATCCTAACAAAATAAGGAAGTTATGCATATCTGGTAGCTAATAACACAAGGTCAGCGACAGTTGGTTTTATAACTTGAAAAAAAAAGATACACACTATTTGGTAATGTATAAAAATATTCTATCCATCTTATACACTACCCCAAATCAGGCATATCAAAGCAGTTCATTTGTTAGTTTAATAAGTTATGATATGTATGAATATGAAATTTAAGAGTTAATTTATGTGTATTATTAGGTATTATCAGGTTAGGTAAATGTCTGGTGTATATAATTTTCTTAACAACAATTAACTTGTAGCCCTGATTAATTTAATTGTAGTAATTTCACTAATCTGCACTATAATTAACACTAAATTGTAGAAAATAAAGCAATGAACAAGTTGATTGGAAAATAACATGGGTCATTAAACTTTGATAAGCTTGTTGTTCCCCCTAGGGAAGAGGTGATGGGGACATGAAAATAGTAATTGTCTTTAAGTTTTTGTTTGTTCGTACTTGTGTCAGTCCATTTTCAGGTTTGTTAGCGCTCTCACACATACAATTCTTGCTAGATTTTTATGAAATTTATATCAAAGATAAAATTGAGAATGGAAATGGGGAATGTGTCAAAGAGACAACAACCTGACCAAAGAGCAGAAAACAGCCGAAGTCCACAAATGGGTCGTCAACACAGCGAGAAAATCCCGCATCCGGATGCGGGCTTCAGCTGGCCCCAAAATAAAAACTCCAAAACATATTAGTTATAAAGGTTTATATCAACAAGGTCTTGGACCAGTCTGATAATCAGCACAAATCAACTATTTTTACAGGAGTAATGTCCCTTGGATATAAAAATTATATGGAAAATTGCGTTGCAAGTGATTACATTTTAATGAATGATATTTATGAAAAAGTGTGTAGAAAGAACCATAAAAATAAATTGGAGTTATTGCCCTTGGGCAGATAAAATATGTGCAGAGGGATAATTTGGAATGCTGTTTTTTTATTTTCATTTTTCATGTTCTTCATATTCTTTTTATGAAATAATTTGGTAGAGACAAATATTCATACATTTTTGGTAAAAATTCTCCCTTTTAGAATTAAAATATAAGACTGTAGTGATATATTAGAAATAAAACTAAAAATAAATTACAATTCTGTAAAGAAATGATATAAATATCATTTTTGTAATGAAATAATGATTTTCAAATTAATGGATGCCGAAAATATCTTAAGATCTATCTTTTTACATATTTTAAGTAATTAAGAAATGGTTATAAATGGTTTGGATGTCAAAGAAACCTTGGAATGTCATGGCCCTGTATTATCAGGCAAATGTAAATTTGCAAACTTCATACTGACAATCTTTATATTTCATTTTACTCATTGATTTATATGATATTACTCTTTAAACAGTATTTATGACAGAATTTATTTGTAATACAAATGCATTTGTTTTATGCTAAGGCCATTGACTGTTACTATAGTTAAATGACCCTAAAGTACTTGAACTTGAATTAAACAAATACATTATATGTCCTTGTGACTTCTGTAAAACAAGAAAGAAAAATCAGTTCGTAATATTTCTTCTTTTATGATAATATAGGGTTGAACATTGTTTAAGACAAGGAATAAAGTAAAAGTCTTTTTAAGTTCATTGATAATTTCCAAATTAATCGAAACTTGTTGAAGATTGATTAGAATTTTATTGAGCAATAGATGACTTAGGGCTTACTCGAGAGAGAACGGAAGTTCGTAACTGCCAAAGGTCATTCTTTAGAGAATGAATGATTTGGATTGTAGTATAGGGAGGGAGCTGGCCCAACAGCTTGGGAGGGCGTGTAAGCCCTAAGTCATCTATTGCTCAATAAAATTCTAATCAATCTTCAACAAGTTTCGATTAATTTGGAAATTTTATTGAACAATAGATGACTTAGAGGCTTCCACGAGACTTTAGAGTTCTACATTCTAGATCATTCATACCAGGATATATGTGAAGGCAAATTCTTGATAATAATAAAATTTTTAGTAATGTACTATTCTATTATTCCAACTATATACATGTATATATAATATTTACATTTATAACAGAATCATAATACATGTTATTATTTGTTTTCCAATAAGCTATCACTTAATGTTTGTGTTTGAATAGGTTTAAAATAAAATTTGTAAAAAGTTTGTGCTGAGCTCCAACCAGCTGTTTTAAGTATATTGTTTAATGGAATCCCATGTGCTGCAGCACTGGACGATGAAGCTGATCGACAGCTATGTGTCCCATACACTTTTATATCAATTCCTGCTTTTCCTAATAATTGTTTTATCCAACGTGATATTGTACTTTTTGTTACAGTTTTAAAAGGTTTAACACATGAAATAAAAAGGGACTTTTCCTGTCCCCTAAGTTTTGAAGTTCTTTTCAAATATTCTTCCATGGCTACAATAACACATAGTTTATAATCATCATGTCTATTAAATTCCAATGGTCCAATGTGCTTTCCTGGTTTGAACTGTTTAACTAAATCTACTATGTACACTTTCATGTTGTCATTAGAAATAGTAATATTATTAAGTTTTATCAAATGAACAGTTTGACAGCGTTGCACACTAAGCAGCATAAGCAATAATGCTAGCTTTTGTGATAGTTGTAATAGTGTTAACTCCTCATTTGCTGGTAATGTTTTCAAATAATCTAAAACTATATTTACATCCCATGTTTCTGTATATTTGGGAAGAGACGGTCTAGCATTGAAAGTACCCCTCATATATCGAGTTACTAGTTTATGTTTTCCAATGTCTATCCCACTTGTCACAGAACAAATTGAAGATATTGCTGATTTAGCAGTGTTGATTGCACTGTAACTTAATC